CCGGGGGCTGAGAACGGTCCCGGCTCAGCCACGCCTGAGGTGCGGGAACAGGGGTACCGGGGGGTGGTGCGGCACCCTGCTTCATTTGATTTCCACTGCCTTGGCATTCAGCACCTCCCCTCTACAAATTCTTCCTACGCCCCTGCCCCAGACCAGCCTCCCCCCAACCATCTCCGCGCTCCTTTTGAGTGACTCCTGTGCGGTAACGTTATTTTTAAGCATTTTTTCTAATTGTTATTTATTTTAATTTTACCGCCGGGAGAAAGTGTGAGAGGGGTCAAGCAATGGAGGGAGAGACAGACAGTAACTGTTTAATAACAAGATGTTGAGACTGTAAAAGTTGAAGCTTTATAACCATTAAAACAAATGGTCAGCCTCATCCCCCCCCCGCGCCCCCCCTGCCACACGCCGGAAGTTCTCAAGCTGCATTTTTCTCACTTTGCCTATCTTGTAAATTGCAAGTATTACAAGATAGGCAAAGTGAGAAAAATGCAGCTTGACAACTTCTCAGAAATATTTTTCGGTGGGTTGTGTGTGTGTCCAGTGAAATTAGAGAGACTAAGTGGGTGAGGTCATATCTTTTATTAGATGAGAAAGCTGGTCTCTCTCACCAACAGAAGTTGGTCCAATAAAAGAGATGACTTCATTTACCTTGTTTGTCTAATATTCTAACAGTGTTTCCAACCTTTTTTTTTATAAAGTACTACTTTTTCAACAACAAAAAAGTATCCCCAGTACTTACATTTTTCAGACACACAATTTTTGTCTACCCTTGCAACACATCTGTTTAAACTGAATCATAAAAAGAGTGTAAGAGTACAAAAATAATAAAGCACTGTAAAACAAAAATTCTGTTTTCTCCAAATTTCAGTTGTTGATGTACCACCCCTCCCCCCAGACTCCTCTCAAGTACCCCCAAGGGTACTCATACCACTGGTTGAGAAACACTTATTCTAGGACCAGCTGGGCTACAATACAGCATACAGTGAAATTGACATTCATCAATAAAACCTGGTCCTTCCAAGTCTATATCAGTGGAGTAGGCTGACTCCTGGTGGGCCCTGGTTTTGGTGGGTGGACAATGACAGGAGGGTGGGGCAGAGCCATCAGGGCCACCTCTCCCCACTTCCAGTACTCTGGTGAAGAAGAGTGCACCCCCATCTATGCTGTCCCACCACTCAGCACTGCCACTGTAAAGTGGGATTGGGAGCTTGTCCCAATCTGCTCATTACTCCTTCCGGGGAGTAGGGTTTGGGTATGGGCCTTGTCTAGCTCCACCAGGGAAGAGAGGGTCAGGCCACTGGGGCTTGCACCGCTCTGCTCACCCAGTGCATCTGCTGAGGAATGGGGTCAAGGCATGGGGACTTGGACCACTTTGCCTGGCTGGCTCTCCTGCAAGCCCACATGACCCAATCCCGATACCCCACAAGACACCAGTAGGGCAGAGTGGGCAAATCCCCATGGCCGAACCCCCTCTTGCCAGCTGGAGCTGGGCAAGCCCCTGCACCCAACCCTGCTCTCTGGCAAGAGCACCAGACCAGTTGAGCAGGATAGGAGCAAAGCTCAGGTGTGTGGGCCTGGATAAGTGATTGGATAAGCTCAGGCCCACTCATGGCTACACCACTGATATATATAAAAATGTCTATTAGCTATACTGTACAGACAGCTGTTTCCCCAGCTAACTAGAGAGTGTTGTCTAAAACTGGTTTCCTTTAGTCTAGGAAAGTGCACCAGTTTAACTAAATTGGTTTAAAACCCACTACATAAACCAATGTAAAGCCTTACTATAGGCACATTTAAATTGATTTAACCCTAGTTTATGTTCATTAAAAATTATCGCCAGTGCAAGCTAAACTGATATAGGCACAGGAATTAATTTAGTTGAATTCATGCACTTTTCTAGTACAGAGAGCCTTTGGCTGTGTCTACATTGGCACGATCTTGCACAAAAGTGGCCGCTTTTGCACAAAAACATGTTGCCTGACTACACTGGCGGGGAGTTCTTGTGCAAGAACACTGACGTTCTAATGTGTGAAATCAGTGCTTCTTGCGCAAGAACTATGATGCTCCGGCTCAGGATAAGCCCTCTTGTGCAACTGTTCTTGCACAAGAGGCCAGTGTAGACAGGCAACATGAATTTCTTGCACAAGAAAGCCCGATGGTTAAAATGGCCATCGGAGCTTTCTTGCACAACAGAGCGTCTACACTGGCATGGATGCTCTTGCACAAAAGCACATGCCAGTGTAGATGCTCTCTTGCACAAATACTTTAACACAAGAACTCTTGTGTTAGAGTATTTGCGCAAGATCATGCTAATGTAGACGAAGACTAAGAGTCTGTAC